CGTTGTCTTTTTTCCTTCAACTGTTCTTTTTTTCCTTTTTTTCTTCCTCTTTTTTTCCTTTTTTTCTTCCTCTTTTTTTCCTTTTTTCTTCCTCTTTTTTTCCTTTTTTCTTCCTCTTTTTTTCCTTTTTTTCTTCCTCTTTTTTTCCTTTTTTTCTTCCTCTTTTTTTCCTCGTTTTACTTTGCTTCAGCTGCCGCATTTATTAGTCTCCCGTCGTTTATGCGTGTTCTGCGATAAGATTGCTGCACATTTTTAGTCTGTGCAATAACTATTGAATGTACATATTAAAATTAGGGGTAATTATTTACAGGAATTTTCGTGAGTTCTCTAAATATCACATTAAATTCATTATATAATGATAGATATATTTATACGTGAAAAGTTTAATGATATAATTTGTATATGTTAGTAAATATTTACGGCAGAGAGTTGGGCGTTGGTCGAAGAAAATTTTATCCGCGCGTAATATCTCGAACAAATTGTGTTGACTGTGATTTAAAAAATGCGAAAATAAAGCGCGAGAGAAGATAGAGAAATAATCGGAGCGGGCAGAGAAAATGCGACGAAACTGACAACGGGCGGGGAAATACTGCGGCGATTACAGTTAATTTACAAAGAAATAGTTTGAACGAGACAAATGACTACTTACCGTGACGAGGAGGAAAAGCGACGGTAATATCATGATTGCGGGAGAGTTTAACGCGAGAATTGACGGCGAACGGGGGGAGGGAGGCGGCAGTATAATCGAATGGAAGTCGAAAGATGATGTCACCGATGAGGAGGATACGAAATTACTGAAAATAGGAAGCGAATATTGGAAAGGGTGCCTGGATAATAAGCTCTCCTAGACGATGATCTTGGGCTCCGCACGATGTAATGCGTCAGAAAACGTTGGTAGAGCGAACCAACAGTGGTGATTCCTTCGAAAATTGGGGTGCGAGATTTAACGTGGCGTAATAAAATTATATAAAGGGAATATTCACCCTTTGGAACAGCGTTTTCGAAAAAATAAAGAAAAAAAAATAGAAAACCGTGGAGGTGTCGCGACCTCCTCTGCGTCCGTGTTTCTCACGGGACCGTGAAAATCGGCGCGACACGCGGCGCTCCTCGCGACTACGGACCCGCTCCCCGCGACTACGGACCCGCTCCCACTTGTGCGACATATATAATATTCAGAAAATTGGCTATCGCGTGGAACTTACACACGGCGTGTGAGATAAGGAAGCCGGTTGATATCGTCGGCCAGTTCTTTTCACGCGAGACCTGTCCGCGCGCGGACGGAAACGCTCCGGGTTCCAGCGAGCCGCCTCAAATTAGTGTGAGCTGCCCCGAATTAGTGTGAACCGTGCTGAATTAATGTGAGCTGCTCTTTGAATTAGTGCGAGCCGCTCTTTGAATTAGTGAGAGCGGCTCTTTGAATTAGTGGGAGGGAGGCGCTCTTTGAATTAGTGGGAGGCGCTCTTCGAATTAGTGTGAGGCGCTCTTTGAATTAGTACTAGGCGCTCTCTAAATTATCGCGAGCTGCTTTTTGAATTAGCGTGAGGCGCTCTTCGAATTAGTGCAAGGCGCTCTTTGAATTAGTACGAGGCGCTCTCTAAATTATCGCGAGGTGCTCTTCGAATTAGTGCAAGGCGCTCTTCGAATTAGTGCGAAGCGCTCTTCGAATTAGTGCGAGGCGCTTTTCGAATTAGTGCGAGGCGCTTTTCGAATTAGTGCGAGGCGCTCTTCGAATTAGCGCGAGCCGCGCTTCGAATTAGCGCGTGCCGCGCTTCTAATTGGCGCGTGCAGCGCTTCTAATTAGTTCGAGCTGCTCTTCGAATTAGCGCGAGCCGCTCTTTGAATTAGCGCGAGGCGCTCTTCGACTTAGTGCGAGGCGCTCTTCGAATTAGTGCGAGGCGCTCTTCGAATTAGCGCGAGCCGCGCTTCTAATTGGCGCGTGCCGCGCTTCTAATTAGTTCGAGCTGCTCTTCGAATTAGCGCGAGCCGCTCTTCGAATTAGTGCGAGGCGCTCTTTGAATTAGTATGAGGCGCTCTTTAAATTAGCGCGAGGTGCTCTTTGAATTAGCGTGAGCCGCTCTTTGAATTAGTTCGAGCTGCTCTTCGAATTAGCGCGAGCCGCGCTTCGAATTAGTGCGTGCCGCGCTTCTAATTAGTTCGAGCCGCTCTTTGAATTAGTGCAAGGCGCTCTTCGAATTAGTGCGAGCCGCTCCAAATTATAGTGCATCGCGTCGCTGATTTCCAAAAACCAGTGTTTCCTCGTTACTGAACGAACATCGAACGATTATTGAACCAAAGAGAGCCAGAGAGAGAGAGAGAGAGAGAGCGATTGTGCAGCGCCGATAGTATTTCTTGGCGTTGTCGATAGTATTTCTTGCCGGTTTCTAATGAGTGTGCTCGTCATGCGTCGAGTCGATCGCCTTGAGATAGCGGTGTCAGCTTGTTGATAAACGATTCCCGACGAGCGGAACTTTTCGTCGTCTTCCTCGCGTTTACGCCGACTTTGTTCGATGGCGGTGGACACGTGATCAACGATCCTTAGAATCGTTGCGAAGAGAACAGAGTTCTGTAAGATGACGAACTAGACACGATCGCGAGATCCCGTGGACCACCGAATCGTGCTTGTTTTCGGCGTCGTCTTTCGTCGACGACCGGTTTCGAACGGCTTCACGCCGACACGAGGACTTTGAGTCCGCCGCACATGACCAGGAAATATTTGCTATTCATTTATTCATTGATTTCGGCGATTCCGAGAATCCGTGATCACGTAACAGGCAAAAGTGAATTTTTTTCCAAGGATCGCCAGTCGACTCGAACTGCGCGAGCCGGTGGGAAAGCAGGCTAGGATCGATATGGTTCGAATGTTTAAATGCTTTATTTGCTGCAGAGTTTGGTGAAAAATAATGTGATCGATGATCGACGAATCTAAGTCGCGTTGGTTGGTCTAAATTCTTGCGAATTGTTCGCTGGAAAATTTTTGTTATCCAAGTTATTCGTTTATTTCATTATTCGTTTATTCCGTTATTAAATTATTCGATCATTCGACTATCAATTTATTTATCAAATATTAAATTATTATCGATTATTAAATTATTAGTTTATTACTACTCGAGATGCTGTCGACGAGCAATCGGACGGACGATCGGTTTTCTTACTTAATTATTCGTTTATTCCGTTATTAAATTATTCGATCATTCGATTGTCAATTTATTTATTTATTAAATATTAAATTATTGTCGATTATTAAATTATTAGTTTATTACGTCGAGATGCTGAAGTTATTTATTTATTAAATATTAAATTATTAGTTTATTACGTCGAGATGCTGAAGTTGTTAATTTATTAAATATTAAATTATTAGTTTATTACGTCGAGATGCTGAAGTTATTTATTTATTAAATCATTATCGATTATTAAATGATTAGTTTATTACGTCGAGATGCTGACGTTTCGTTCGCCACCGGCGCGATGTCATTGTGTCGACGAGTAAATCGGTTCTCTTGCGAGTCTCTTCGAAAGCAGTAGCCGAGGATTAAGTAATTTTTCGCGCGTGGTTTCGTCGAGATAGTTACGCAAACGGTTCCACCGGGGTATAATGGAAATCGTGGAAAAGAAAGCAACTTTCTATCGGATGCCGAGCATCGGAGGTGGTTTTTCTGTAACAGAACAGAAAAGAAACGCAGGAAAAAAGAACAAACGAACGAAGAAGGTGCACGGTTGCATAAACGCTGCTGCGGTTGTAACACAACGCAGTTGTTGTGGTGGTGTTACATCACTTCCGCGCTTCATTCATGCTTCTCGGCGGGAATAGTATTTCGCCGTTGAACGTTTATGCAAATCACGCATCTTCGCGCGCGCGACGAAGTTGTAAAAAACGCCGCAGGGCATTGACAGAAGTTGCTATACCGGCGCGAATGCAATTATATGTATCTCGGCCTGCATGTGCACGTAACGTATAACTGTAAACATTTACCGTACACGGTGTTGTTTCCGATCCCCGGTGCAATCGGAATAATGCGAACGGAGATCGGACGTAGGATGCAAAACCGTGTGCGATCGCGAAAATATTGCGATAATTTCGAACGGTTCCTCGCTGTGCTTCAAATCGTTCGCGGTCAATTTGTTTATTAATCATTCGCGCCAGGTTTTGCGTGAAAATCATCAGACACCGCTTTTATACCGGTTTGTAAAAGCAACAATAACGTTGGAATAAATTGTTATCCTAATTTGTGTCCCGGACGACAAATCTATCGAATAAATCCTCGAAGATGCAACTTTGCAACTTGCGATCGTAAGTCGTCAATGGGAACAATAATGTTGGAATAAATTATTATTCTAATTTGCGTCCGCAGCGACGGATTTATCGAATGAAAATGTTTCCGACCGTAGATCGTAATAATAATGTTCGGAATAAATTAGAGTATTAGATAAATAAATAAATAAATATCGATTAAAAATAAATAAATAAATCGATTAAAAATAAACAAATAAATCGATTAAATAAAAATTTCTCAGAAACGTATTCCATCGAGTCGTGAATTCACGAATTCGTGGAACCTGTTTCGACCAAAGAACGTCCTCCGAGCGGTGTAAAACCGTGAATCAAGCTTGAGAAAAAGGAACGAAAATCAGCGCTATAAAATTCGCATAAATATCCGCGTTTCTAACAATAACAACGAAAACAACGGGCAACGAATAATCCGCCTGAAATAGAAGAACATAACATAAACATTTCTGATTCAGCTTCAGCCCGATAAAGTCGCGCGAGATACGAGGGGAGGTAAGAACGCATTGCATCGTTCGTTCGACATGCTCGTTTCGATAAATCGCTCTTCGCAAGTCTCTAACCTGTCCGGAAAAAAAACAGAAAGGGAAAGAAGGAAAGGGAATATCGCGATGACGACGCGTATAGGGGGGGGGGGCGAGGAGGCGGTAGAATTAATTCGCGTGGACTTTCGACGACGACGCTAATTCCGGTCCTATTTTTTCTTCTCTGTTTCCAGCTGAGCGAAAGCAGCGGTTGCAGGAGGCACGAGATGAATCTGGCAGAAATTAAATCCATTCGTAGCTCGCATGGAAAAACCTGGAACGGCGTGAACGTGTGCCAGTTTTCGTTCTGTCTTTCGAGAAGTCTGTTCCCCTATCTCTGAGCGAGATTTTCTTCCACTGTACAGTTCAAAGGAGAGAAAAACGAAGGAAAGAGAGAGAGAGAGAGAGAGAAGTAGGCGAGAAAGGAGGAAAACGAACGAGAAGAGATACAGCGGCGAGAAAGAAGTGTAAGAAGAGTAGGAAGAGGAAGTAGGAAGAAGTAGGAAGGAGATAAAAGAGAGACCGTATCGAGACCAAAGAAAAAGCCGAAGAGGACCCGCGGGATAACCGGAATTTTGGGGCTATTCTCTGATCTCGAGTATAAGAGACGCCTATCGAGGAAGAGAAGGGACAAGGAAGGGAGAAAGCGAGAAGAAGAAGAAGAAGCAGGAGGCTGTTTGATAGCGCGCGAGAAGCTTCCTACGGGCCGCCCCGTTTCCAGAGAGGGAAGTAATTAAGGATTATTTCGTTTCGCTGCGAAAGAAGAACGCCAAAATGAGCACAATGACTGCCACTCAATCCTCGTCCGTGAAGGACTTCTACAGGGACAGGTCTATCTTCATCACAGGCGGCACCGGTTTCATGGGCAAAGTGCTCGTCGAGAAGTTACTCAGATCCTGTCCCGGTATCAAGAATATTTATTTGCTGATCAGACCGAAGAAAGGACAGGACGTGGAGCAGAGGCTGCGGGAGTTGTTGAACGGACCGGTAAAGATTGCCCCTGCTGTACGGTAAAGTCTCCCTGCGGATTGCGCAAAATGTGACTGTATAACTGGAAAAAGAAACGAGCCGCGAGGCTAATCGTATCTTCTCCTCTGAAATTGTTCGTTTTGCCCAATTGTTTCGAGCCGAGCGTCGATCAGGGAGAATTTACCGTACAATCTGGGCGAATTAGAGAATTTACGGAGAATTTACGTTAATAATTTCTTTTTAAAATTGGTCCAATTCGTGCATAAATTCTTTTGAGATGTTGGACCAACTGGTTTTCCAGAGTGTTTCAAAAATGTTTTTCGACCGATTTGAATATTGTTTAGATGAACCGTTTTGCATATAATACTACATAGACAAGGTTTCGAGATTAATGTAGAGCTTTTAAATCGATTCATTTCATGTACATGGAATAACATGGAAATGTGCGTTGTATTAAAAAAGACGGGAAATGTGAGTTAGGATAGAGGGAAACGACTTCGTTTCGCCAGATGCTAACAATTTCTTTGATTCGAAAAAATATTAATCCGTTTCTAATGACTATATTGAGTCGTGCAGCCTGTACTAGAGTTCTATTGAAAAACGTAATGTGTGTAGATATATTTATAATCGGGCGGCTTTGTTCTATAGAACATTGTTTGCCTAAAAATTTAGGCAAATTCCTTGACAAAATATTAATATTAATATTAATACTAATATTAATTAATATTAATACTAATATTAATTAAATATTAATATTAGTTTCGTTTTCAATATTTTCATTCTTCTATGCACACCAGCTAAGAATAAAATGCGATGGACGATTCGCCTGAAATTAAATCGACACGTTTTCGTGCACCTTTCAATATGCTTAACGTGTGCTTGAAATTTGTTTAAGCTGTTCGAGAAGCTGCGACGGGACGCGCCGAACGAGCTCTCGAAGATCATTCCCGTTTCCGGGGATGTAACGGAACAGGAATTGGGAATCTCGGAAGCCGATCAGAATATGCTCATACGATACGTGTCGGTCGTTTTCCACTCCGCTGCCACTATAAAATTCGACGAGGCGCTAAAGCTTTCCGTTACCATCAACATAGTCGGTACTAAACAGCTTTTAAATCTGTGCCATCGCATGGACAACTTGGAGGTAGGATTTACATTTCCCTTCACCCCATTTTTTTTTTTTACACGGCTCACGTGTTCCGCGCGTTGTTCCCGCATTAACTGCACGCAACCGTGTTTTTTTTCGTTATCCATCTCTTCTGTTCGTGTAATTCAGCAAAGCGTGTCAATGAAGAACAGAACCAATTGTGGGTCACAATTAGGGTAATCCGAAATGCGGCCAGGTGCGAGCAATTGTCGCGCGCCAACTAGTCTACTTCTCACCGAAACCCAATCGAACCTCGATTTGTCCCCTCTGTGTGTGTGTGTGTGTTTGTGTGTGTGAAACACGAATCATTCTTTTCCAGGCCCTCATCCACGTGTCGACGGCATATTGCAATTGCGACCGCAAAGACGTCGCCGAGGAGATTTATCCTGTCGCGGCCGAACCAGAAGACGTGATCGCGTTGACGAAGGTCATGGACGCCAGGATGGTGGACAATATCACGCCGACTCTGATCGGCAACCGGCCGAACACTTACACGTTCACCAAAGCCCTAACCGAGAGGCTATTGCAGTCGGAGTCCGGTTACTTGCCGGTCGCGATAGTCAGACCTTCGATCGTGTTGTCCTCGCTGAAAGAGCCGGTATCTGGATGGGTGGACAACTGGAACGGCCCGACCGGAATTATAGCCGCCGCCGGCAAAGGTTTCTTCAGGTACAATGAACCTCTACCACCGACAGGTTGATATTCTCGAGAATGCTGTACCGCGCCTGCTGATGAGACCGGTGCCACTTTTTTCTTCCATAATAATGACGCCGTTGTAGATCGACGTAACAGAAGCCCGAGTGTTACACAGGGTGTCCCAGATGTCAGCGTTGATCATTCCTCGGGAAATTCGATGTAACTTTTTCATTGGCGAAAATCTTGGCAACGGCTTCGTTAACGAGCTATTAATGATAACCGTTATTCCGGCACGATAGCGAACTCGCCAGTGTTAAATAATCTTCCTTGATTCTGTGGGATTTGTGGGCTTATTTTTAGGCGGGTGTGCATATAGAATAGCGTATATAAACAATTGTATTGTATGTAAAGTTAGTCATGCAGAAATGAAGGATAAGGAATAGAATGTGTCGACGAAACAGATCGTAATTCACGGAACAGATTGTTAACGATGATTTTATGGTTTATTCGCAGGAGTATGTTGTGTCACGAGGACAAGATCGCGGACTTGGTGCCCGTCGACATAGTGATCAACTTGATGATTTGTGCAGCATGGAGGACAGCGACGAATCGGACCAAGTCGATCCCGATCTACAACTGTTGTACAGGTCAACAGAACCCGATCACTTGGAGACAATTCGTCGAACTGATGTTCAAATACACCCGCATGCATCCGCCAAACGACGCGATCTGGTACCCGGGCGGCCGATGCCGCTCCAACGCTATAGTGAACAAAATGTGCACGCTGTTCCAGCACATGCTGCCGGCACACATTCTAGACTTTTTTCTGCGACTGAGGGGCAAGCCGCCGACCATGGTCGGCATACAAACGAAACTCCACAAAGCGACCCAATGCCTCGAGTACTTCAGCACGCAGCAGTGGAACTTCAGGGATGATAACGTTCGACGATTAGGCGAACAACTTAGCCCCGAGGACCGACAAATCTTCATGTTCGACGTCCGGCAAATCGACTGGCCGTCGTATTTGGAGCACTATATACTTGGGATTCGACACTTCATTCTGAAGGAGAGCCCGGACACGCTACCAGCTGCTCGTTCACATATTAAAAAGTAAGCGACCTCCGGGGCGCCATGCTTCGAGCTCTGTGACAGTTTTAGGCCGGCTTCGAGATAAATATTCGAACAACCGTTCTCGTTCGGTTCCGTTCTAACATTTGGCGCGGTAGGAACAGAAGATGATAGAGGGCGTCAATGATATCCGATAAAGTGCTTATTTATTCCATGTATTATTATCTATAAAAACGTTCGTATCAAGCTGAATGTGCTAACGCAGAAAGCTGATTCCAAAAGAGTAGAAAATCTAATGTATTGACCGATTCCTCCTTCCAGCAATTCATTTTGTTGTCAGTAGTCACGTATGGATTTTATCTTCTCCGGTAACAGTCTCAGAACATCGGATTTTTGAATAACATTCTAGGAAAGCGTGTATCGACGTGCTGGCCGGTTGCTTTATTATTAATTTTTCTGTTTCAGATTATATTGGATTCACAAAACACTTGAATTCGGAATGCTGTTGGTAGTGCTGCGTTTCCTGTTTTTGCGCAGTTCCGTGACCCGAACTGCATGTTTTTCACTGCTGTCTATCGTGTTACGCATGTGCCGTATGATTGTTTGACGGCGCAGAACCGTTGCCAAGGATCGCGAGAAGCGTCTTAAGAAACACAAGTTAACCGTAAAGCATAATTTAAAGGTGCGAATTGTCATTCGACTTCACTGTTCGGCGTTCCCGACGACAAATCGCTATGTTCACACATCCCATGGGTTGGCCTTTTTGATGTTTCTATTTGTTCGTAAGTAAATTAGCGTTCGGTAGAGGTGTAATTCTGCAAGGTGTGTCGGTTGTTTAAAGAAAATAAAAAAAAGAGTAAAACGTTTTAAGAAAGAACGAAAAAAAGGAGAATACGAACAAGACAAAGCAGAGTCGAAAATGCTGAAAAAAAGAGAAACCAAAACGTGTACCCGACAAGCTTCCGAGACATTTATTATAAAAAATCCTTTGTTACTTGGAAAGTTGATCCTTCGACGAGAGTGAAAGGACCTTTCTTTCTTGCTATCGCGATGAATCTCGCGTCGTCTAACTTGTTCGAGACAGCATCCGTGAAAAAGAAAAAAGAGAACAGAGAGAAAGAAAGCTCGTTTTTAATCGACCGTTTCTTATGTAACGCGTTTTCGATGCCGTCAAGGCGTTTCGTTCATGAACATCGATTTTTTGCATATCGTCGATTTGTAATGACGCAACGTTAGGGATATTCGATCAAGTTAGTCTCTGGAAGAGCGATCATTGTCCTCGGACTTCCTTGACGTTCGTCACGGTATTGTTTTTTGCGGTAGCATCATCGCGCACACCGCCACTTCGAAACGAGTACGACGAACTCCATGAGCCGGCAGTCCAACAACTGCTCAAATATATATTCCACCTACCTTGTTCATTTGCAGTATCGGACATATTTCGTTGAGCTTTTTGTAAATGATGTTTTTTGTGGCCTGGTTAGCTTGGCGAACGAAAATGATACCAGTGTTTTTTTATTGTTCAGGACCGTCTATTCTGCGTTGAAAAATTCTTCCGCTCTTTGCTCCGCTAATAATCGTTGTGTAATTTGTGTGGTGTTCCAATGCTTTAAACCGATCCCCGCGAATTTTTATCGCCGACATGGTTTTACCATATTCCGTTGCCGAAGACGCGCGGCCTGTTGCTTTGTTTTTGCCAAATGAGAAACATGGTAAACCCGGGTTTAATATTAATTGTAGAAATAAATTGAATGCGGTAGTATAAAAGTATATATATATATATATATGTATATGTATTATATATATATGTATATACATATATGTATATGTAAATGTATTTTAACATGGCCAAAAATTTTAATGCCCGCTGACTTCCTTCCCTTTTTCATAATTTTTATGGAATAAGTTAAGTGATACCGTAAACTACGCGCTCGGGGCGTTTTAATCCTTTTAGAAAGTGGGTTCCCAAACGATATAGTTCTTGGAGTGAATTTTTTCACGATTTAATATAACATAATTCTGTATACAGAGGAAAGAATAGAAAGGATTAAATGTTGCCCCGAGATCGAATCCTTCCGAGTCTAACGCCGAACAGTCTTTAAATCCTAGTCACAACTTCCTTGTAAACGCGGATACGTTCGTTTCCAAACTGCAGGTACATTTGTCCATGGAAGAAGAAGTAGTGTGTCCGTTTTCTAGACTCGAAAGGACCGTAATGGAAAATTGAGATGCCGGCTAGAGGAGTTAAAAATTCGTCGTGCCTTTGTGTTGTCGCTATTCCGATATTTTCTTGTTCATTTACATTGCGACGTGAGATACATAGACGGATATTCAACTATGTTTATTATGTACAGAACATGTACGTTCGATTTATTCGGTTTCACCATTGACGAATCGGAATTTCTAAAGTGTTAAAACTTTTATTATGTAATCGTTATTCTTTAAGGTAGTAGTATAAATAAGGAATTTGTAAAAAGAAGAGGTCTTCGTAAAGCTCTAGTGTAGCAGACATTTTTGGAGTTTAAGTATGATGTGTAACAATTAAAAATTTTACGTATCTATATGTTATATTTGACGTCAACATTGCTTCCTTTATTTTTAATGGTAACTCTAGCTCTAGAATTATAATCAAAATTACACCAGTGTGTGTAGCTTGGTTTGTTGTTGGTGAAACTGAAACTGAAACTGAAACGGAAACCAAATTCAAGGAATGTCCTTAGTGTATTCGCCATTTTGAACGAACGATTATGGCGTTACCAACACACCAGGTGTACATTACCTGCATTTAATGGTTCCCAAAAACTGCCATCGTAAGGCAACACAGTAAATAGAATCATTCGTCAACAGGGACGTTAAAACGTTCGCCATAAAAGTAAGGGAAGAGAAAATATCGCTACGTATCTTACGCGTATAATGGTCATAGTTACTGGCGCAGAAATTTTGAAGGCATTGGCAACTTATCTTTATCTTCCGGTCAAGTTCTTCGCACGTAATGTAATTGTTAGTAGGCGGCTCATCGACCAAAGTGACGAGATTGGCCGAACTTAGAATCGTTAGGCGAAGAGGTGACAAATTTGTAAATACAAGTTATTGATATTAACGAGGAGAACGATTTTATATAATATAATTCGTGCATCCATTTTCGTGACTCATTCGTGTGTATTAGAGTTTGTCCAACGCATGTTTTCGCCACTGTATCCCGATATACGTATTATATATATACATATATATATATATATTTTACCGCAGCGTCCTATGTACAGTACACATTCCAATGTTCATTTACAAAGAGACACGGATATCGGATCACGATATCCAGGGATCCTTCCAAAATCTAGGACACTCAAAACACACAAGAAGCTTTTACTTGTAATTCTCTACGAAAATTTATGGTACAGGTCTTGATCTTCTTTCATATGCTAACCGGGGACTGCGGAACTTTATGCGGATTTAGAATATTCTACCATTACCTGATAATAACAGAAATTTACCGAGGTGTGCCAAATTAATTACGCCCAAGCGTTTGTAATATCACTCTTAGAAATCTAATGTAAGATAATAATATAATAAAAATCAATTCATTAAAACTAGAGAAAAAAAAACCTATGAAGGAGGACAACTGTACTTTATGACGAAATGAAAAAAGAAAACATACTTTTTCACTCCATCGCTTCTAATCCGTTTCTATAAAAATCGTTATTGAGGCATTCGTTGTTAAACACGACAGACATACTCTATATATGCATAAATTCCGCAGTCTTATAAAAAAAAAAGAATTATTCATGATTTCAGTGATCCGTGAAATGCGTATAACGTTATTAACCAAGTGAATCAAACGATGTAATGTATCTTATATAGAGTGTTTCATTTAGCTTGACCATTTACAGAGTATTCGAGATAGGAATTTTTCTAACATTACCGCAGAGTATATGTTCGATAATTCCTAACTACTAGGAAAATATATGAAAGTTTATTAAAAGTATCTCGAATGTATTGTTTTCTTATTTATCGAATCCGTAGCATATATTCTGTGCATTATTCTCGCAAAACGCTTTCCTACATTTTCTTGTGATGGTTATGACGAAGAAGAACACTCTATATGATTTACCGACATACTTTATACACACCCGGAAGGATTAGTCAGGGTGAAGTTTTCTTTCGATATGATACCAAGTGCATGTCTACGCTATGCTACATTTTTAATGTCACTAGTCATACGCAATGAAACGTGGAAAACCGGCCAAGTGATTAAACGTGTAATGTTTTTCAGTGTCCCTTGTACATTTGTAAGTGTTTCTATGATGGATACGTTTTCGCTAATGTTAATTTCGCGGTTGAACTTTGCAAATGTGTGATTCGCATAGGTTCCCCTAATGCAGGGCATTACATTTCCGACAACCGATATCGAACATGATAACTCTATCGTTTTGGTAAATATATTTCTCGAAATTCTTAACGTATCGACATTAGAACACTGATTAATATCTTTTGCTTTTCCAACGCGTTTCTCATTTCGAACAATTTGCTTATCGCTTCCATAGATCGAGTTCTATATGAATATTAATTACGAACTGAACTTTTTATCTTCTACTTTCGCAGCAAATTGACAATAAAATCGCTAATTTTACGTGCGACAAGCAAACGAAAACGTTATACATAATCAGGTAGAGACGATGTGTCGGTTAAATTATCCAGGATCTTTAAATATCGTTGATTATTATATTGAAATTATATTGAGTAATTTCTGTGCATATTGTGCGTTCGTGTTAAAAAATAGACTTCGTCGCAAAACACCATTGGTGGCTGAAACTGTCATCCAATGGACTCTCTTCTTAGAATAAGAGCCTCAGCACAAAGCCCTTTTCTTCCAAATAAAACACTATACCAAACCTTTGCACATTCAAATGACTAAATCCTTTGAATAACTATGTTTTCTTTTTAATCACTGGCACAGTGATCGAGGAAAATTGATAGAACGTCGATGTCAAATGGAAAACGAAAAGATTCTCGTATTCAGCATATATTTTAGTGTCGTGCCGCGACTTTGCAGTGGTCGCTTTGAGAGGTGTGTTATATCTTCGACGCAAATTGAACAATTCTCAGAAATTAAGATGTTCGACTAATCCAAAAATATCTTCGCTTTTTGACACGATCCGAGTGCCGAACGCTGTCAGTATATTAATGCGTTTTTATGCTACACGTTGCCTGTGCCTTTAAGATGATTAAGTCGTGATCCATTTCTTCAATCGCCTATAATTTCATTTTTCTCACGATCATAACACATTCCCTATAATTCGATCGATCGTCTATTCCGAACTCGAATGGGCTTACTTTGACTATTATTTTGCAATCCATCAAACGCTGCCAATACACAATAAGAGAATACCCGCAAGGAAGTGTGCGAGAGAGGAAGAGAGAAAGAAAGAAAGAGAGAGAGAGAGCGAGAGAGAGAAAGATAAAAAGGGGAGACAGAGAACAAGTTGACGGCAGTCGATTAATGCCGTAAAGAAATGATAAAAGTAATTATTATTTAGCGCTAAGGATAAAAGGAGAAAAGAAATGAAAGAAAAGGGGTAGCGCTATTCGAAGATCATCACTTGCTAGTCTCGTTTGTATCATTATTTGGTTAAACAGTGCATAACAAGGAAACAATATTTAATATAACCAATTTAATTATCACATTATACTGTACTACTTACTTAAATTACATTAAAAACAATGAACCATCGCAAATGAATCTTTTACCATGCCCCTTTTGGAACACAGAATTGATAGAAAAGTTGGAAATCTTTGTGAAGAGATCATTATATTATTCACTGACAACTCTCTGTTGCCTCTGTTGCTTGCGTCTTAACAGGCACGTAACGAGAATCGAAATGGAAAGTGGCAAAATACTTCGATAATCGGCTGCAAAATCATGTGAAAATCATTAACATGTTCCTATAAATACGTTTAATTATCTATAATATGTTGTGGCTTTCAAATCGTAAAACGTGCCGTAGTACAAACAAAGTATACAAAGAATACTCGATCCTCGCTAAGAAGCTTAAATCTCTGAAATATCGATAACGGTTGACCGCGACACGGAAATGGTAATGGAGCTTCTGAAGCCTCATTTTTTGAAGAAAAAAAGATAAATAAATAAGAAATTGCTATGCACGAACTATCCTTAACATTCCGAAATTCACCGCCGGTAATTCAGAACAGTGATCGTAAAATCACGTTTCGCGAGACATCTGTAACGATTTTAAGTCTGCGGTAGAATCGTACAAGCCATTCCCGTTCCCGACAGATGGCGCGACAGGGTGGCAGAAATCGGAGTCGAACAAGACCGTGTTCAATCGGAACGTAACGTTCGCACGTTACTCGTTGGTCGTAAGAAAAGATAACAATTAGGAATGGACCAAGAAAGATAAGGTTTGTTCGGCTAAGATAAAATACATTTTTCTCGTTATGAATTGGTGAGACCCGCTTCATCAATGAACAGGACATTCTTTCGTTCGGCTATGTGATATCAAAATACACGTGTTTCGTTTCTTCTCACGCGTCGTTCACAGGAACGATTCAAAAGTTTCGTTTGTTCTCACCGAGAGAAAATATTACAAAGACAATCAGCAATGTCTATTATTTAGTAAAAGTGTCGGCTTGCTTACGGTACATTTTGGCTACGATGTTTATTATAAAATACGCATACCACCGTAGAAATATCATATTTTATCGTTCAAATGTTACACACATCGAATCGTACAATGAACTATTTTAGGCTCGAAATGCTTCTCCAATGCGGAAAGGATGATTCATTGAGTGGAAACAATTAGAAAATAAACAAACGTGAAAAAGTTCGGTACGATCACTGTAACTATTTACGTGTTTGTTTTGACGAAAAGGTTCTCGCTCGAAGAACAATCGTGTGACCATTACCACGTGATCAATGGGATCGGTGGGTAATATCGAGGCAACGAACGACCGACGATTAAGTTAATGAAAACGTTTCGAATGTTTAGGAACCTGTAGAAGAAGAAGCTCGTATCGCGCGCCGCTTCCACTTGAATGGTAAAAGCGAGAAAACGATCGTGTTTGCGCTGCACGGACACGCTCCGTAACACGGTGCCATAGTGCCGTTCATTGATTGCGCTTGTCCGGTGCCATATTCCACGCTCCGGTCCGCCGTGTTTATTGCGCAAGACCCGATCATCCGAGTTTCGCCATTTTTGTTGGCCATTCGACAGTCCCGACGAAAACGGCTATAACCTGGCTGTGGCTTTTACTGGCTATCACGACCGCTGCTGGATTTATCGATACATCTCGACCGAGACTGAAAACCGACAACCGCGGTTCCGTTCTCTCGATCGTCGCACGACATCTTTCAGCCTGGTTTTTTGCTTTTTGTCTCATTTTTCTTTCTCTTTTTTTCACAAAATTATATTTTCATCCGTATGTAATGCAAGCTGTAATTAGTTCGTTCCAGCGAGTTCGTGGTGGATAGACTTTGTGCGTCAACAGCACGTGAGTATTGTTGTTTTTTTCGATTACCAACCTTTCTTTAGTTGCGATCGATGGTCCCGAGGATGGGACTTATAAAATTGATTGGCACCGAACCGAGTAGAGAAATGAATAGTAGGGAAATTGATAGATTCGTATGTTTGTGTTCGTACGAAATCGTTGTACACGCACACACGCACACGCCCATACATACATACGCATATACATATTCTTGTTATTCTTGAAATACATTTCTGGCCACATTGAAGTTAAAATAGCAAGAAAGTTGATACTCTCAGAAACTACTTAACGCACGTTGATAGCTCGCATCGAGGAATTTATATATACAGAGTGAGATAGAAATATTCGTATCGCAGGAATGTGAAAGCATATATTAATTATGTTAATTATTTTAGAATATGCAAGTTCGTAGATATTCGCATTAATTAGTCATAATGCGAACATAGAATGAAAAAGTTAATTACACAATTAATATCCTCGCATATATAATTATGATATATTTGAATAATATGCGAAGTACACAAATACCGTGCACGAAAATTGCATAAAAATAAGTCAATAATAATGAGTAAAGTAGAAAACGATATAGATTACTGTCTGTGTAAGAATAACAACTTCTGCTGGAAATAATAAATAAATAACATTTGCAACAACCAACCGTGGTGTGGTGCAGCAGCAAATTCGAGAAAATCGAATATCTATCTTTATCGTTCCAAATAGATAATATTATGATTGCTGTTTAGTGAATCGATCATTCGCGAAGTACCGTGTTTACAAATATTTGTTGCATTTCGTGCGAGAAAAACGGCGATGAAAATTGTTTCGCGACGAAATAACCAGGCACGCTGAAATTTCTAGCACGCACGATTTCTGTGGTTCTATAGACCGCTGTTCATCTCTCCGTACCATGCTATTTTTGGACCATGCATAGGTACGGAGACGTTTAAACGATTTCACAGTAATAGAAGCTCGGCAGACAGATGCAATTGCGAAAATCGTGGCGAGCGTATATCGTTCAGGATATGCAGATTGCGCGAATCTCTAATCAACGAAGCGTCCCGTCACGATTAATTGGCAAACGTTGAAACAACGAAAGTCAATCGTTCTTCTAAATTCGTATTCTTAGACATTTCGCTGGAGAAAATTACGTTGGATTTTGACATTTTAGACACGTTTCAATCGTATAAATTACACGTTGCCATCTATCTTGCCCATTAAGTTATATGCGTCATGCTTGAAATAAATAGGATCCGACGTTTTCACCAGAATCTTTTCATGTATCAACATTTATTACTTTCTATTATTACGTTACGACAGCGTTAAGTAATCGCTATATTATTTTTCTTTTTAATATACACGAAGCAACGTATTTTATCTAATTTACCTATTTATTATGATGACGTTGCAGGTCGCAGCAGGTGATCGGGTAACGAACATGCTCCAGTGAGGCTCGGCGTGTTTACAAGTTGGAAATAAATAGAAAGACAGGCAAGAAGATGTCACGAGGCTCGAAAAACGTGTGTGAAAGCAAAATAAAGGACGAGGAAGAAGCGTCTACGTCGTTCGGCCTTCCGATCGAGAATTCCGGCGACGATGATCCAAACGTGGCCGAGGTGGGCGAAAGAAGAAGATCCTCGAAGCTTACAAAGATTTGACAAAAACATTCGATTCTCTGCATAGGCTAATAATAACTTTAAAAATAAATAGAAAAAGCTATGTTAAATATTTTTAATTCGACGCGTTACGTCGCGCCGATATTTATTGCTAAATGTCGCTTAATTATGGCAAATTTTCAAACATTAGGAGCATTATAAATCGAGAAACATATTCATCGTGTTGGACTTATTGTATTGCAGGTCGTACTGTCGAACAAAGGTGGCCCGAAATTGATTCACCGTGGCTTCATGTACACGCTGCACAAGAAACAACCGTACAACATTCGATGGAGGTGCGTTGGTAGGACGATGCATTGCAGGGGCAGCCTTATCACGACGACAACCTGCACGAAACCGAGAGTGCGTATGGAGCATAACCACAAGCCTGATTTTGCGGCCGCGCAGGTCGCCAGGAAACGATACTTGGCTCTTGGCAAGCCTTCCGTGTTAACAAGTAAGCATTGTTCCGTTTCATTGAGACCCGAACTTCGTTCCGTTTTCTGGCTGTTCATTGAAATCATTTTACACAGACATCGAAGAGAACAAAAACTCTATCAACGCATCGATGATACTCCAGGACAACTTTCCACTGGAACGAAGGCCGGCGCGACGGAAACGACCGGCAGCCAGAAAAGGTAAGTGTATAATTCATTCTACTCGCTTCAGATTGTTCAATAATAATCGTAATCCATTGTTGTATTCTTTCAATGTCAATTATATTACATAATATACACAAATAAAGGATTCTTCAGAGGATACATTGATACAATTAGATGTTAATCGAACTGAAAATAAAATTAACAAAATGTGTACATAAATAACGGAATTTATCGGCCCGCAACGTAAGATAAGGCGTTTAAAACTGTTCCTTGTATTAAGAAAAACACAAATTCAGGAACAAACGTTAATAAAACATGAAATAGAGTAAATTAGGAATTGTTCACCATATTAGTAAAGTAGGAAGTTATGTTTAACGAGCGCTCTTTTCTTTATACCACAAAATTTCATTCCTTTACAAATGAGATCCCACATTTTACATATCTAAAGAGTATCGATAAAAGAACAATTCGTAACCTTGGATAATATAAAAGAACATAAAACTAACATTTGTCATTTAATAATGATATTCTGTAACTATAACGAAACGACGTTCGATTTCGAAATGGAGACAGTAATAATTGCACAGTGTTGTCGATTTCCAAAGTTTTCAGTAAATATTTCGGAAAAGAAACTATCGCATAATAGTGTCCGACGATCGCTGCATCCAAACGTGACTTGAGAGGGTTGCGAATAAATTCGAGAGAACGATCCGCAGAACAGATCTGCGAGAACCGATTTTTCAATTTTCCCGGGAACGTGTTCCAACAATGGCGATTGGCGTGAACGTTTCACAACAAAGAGATTATATGCATCGCGGTGTTCGGAGGTACGATCGACGCGCAGAGAGAGAGAGAGAGAGAGAGAGACCGGGTGGCACACGAAGGCGATCGATAAGCAACAAATTAACGCGCTAAGGAAGAGACGGCCGAGTCGCGCGCGAGGAGATTAACGGGCGACACATTTCGCGTCCCAAGATGGCGGGGGCATCTTAAAGATGCGCGCGAGAAAAAGAAAAAAAAGGCAAAAAGGGTAGCCGCCGGAGAGAGAAGCGAAGCGAGGCGAAGCGGTTCCCAGTTCCCGATCGATGAGAATTCGCGCGCGGCGGAGCCGGCGAGAGAGCGAGTCGAACGTGATCAGGTCGGTTAGTAATTCCTTAGGCGAGGAGAGACCCGGGAACGCGCACGCGATAGCAACACGAAACACGGCACGGATAATATGCGTCGACGACCGGCGGCGCCGTCGCACATGCGCGTCCTGACGCGCCCCTGTTCGTCCACCGATTTCGATTTTAGTCACTCCCGGGTTCGGCTTCGGGGAAAATCGTTCCGCTCTTCTAGCGAGGTCCGTCGGAACGCGTCGTGGAAAAAAGAGGCACATTCGGCACTCGGCAACGGCTCGCTCGATCGGATCGAGAATACCGCACGCGCGTCCTTCTCGGCGGGCATCATCCTCGTTGTTGGTTCGGTTCGGCGAGATCGTTCGCTCGTTACGGGAGCACACACCGAAAACACACACGAGAGAGAGAGCACACGGCTAGCAAGAAAACTATATACCTTGTGCCCGTCGCTCGATACACGAACGCGGCGAGAGAGAGAGAGCCCGAGATACCGGTAATCGTGTATACGTTTGTACGGGAGAAGATAGGCCACACACTGGGAATATATACGCGATAGGAAGTCAGTGTCGGTTTCGTGTCAGCTATAGAGCTCGCTGGTAGAACGAACGCGGGCGAGAAGAGAGATCGGTGCCAGTTTATTTTTTTTTCTCTCTCTTTCCTAACGTGAAATTTCGAACAGCGCCGTGGCAATAGCACGGATCGCGGAGCTCGGTGGGCCAATCAATTCTGTCGCGTGGCTCTCGATAAAACAGCACCCGGATCCTCTCCGGAACACGATACGAAATCGAACCGGTTCGCGGCCGCGGATCGAACGACTGGAGACGGTTAAGTGACACCGCGTGAACGTAACAAAGGAAGGAAGAAAGTCAGACTGCAGGAAAAAGAGCCCAGAGGTACGGTAGAGAGACACAGGCGACGAGCAGTGGCGTGTGCCACTCGATATCGTGCTCGGTCGCAACGGTTGCCATTTTATAGCCGGTCGCTCGAGCGAGATCTTCGGGGAGGCAAGAAGGAGAGGGAGAGACTCTGACCGTGTGCGAGAGTGTGCACGAGTGTGTGCGAGAGCGTGAAAGGGGGACAGAGACGGAGTACCGTGTCCGTGAAAGAGTGACGGGGAGAGCGAATCTGCGAAGCTAGAAGCGTTGATTGTGGGACGGGGAAAAGTGGTGGGGTGATTTAGAATACGGAACAGAGAAGGGAGAAGAGAAGAAAGAGCCTCGCACAGAAGGTGTAGTAGAGAACTTTTCCGTAGAGATTTTTCGACCGTTCCGTTCCCTCTATCTCCTCGTTAGAAGAAACCAAAAGGCATCCCCACCGAGAAACGTGCGCTTTTCTACACGCGCGTGTACCAGAGGAGCTTTTCATGGCTTCGACTTTCTAGCGTAATATCGATCTACTCCTACGTAATATACGTGTACCAGTATCGTACGTTCCTCATCGGATAAATCGTTAATACGTATTATCCGTGCGTCGTCTGCTGGATGATGACACGATATGCTAAAATGAGAGGGAGCAATAGGGCGGCCCGGCGGGGGGAAAGGGACAACGCGAGAACGCGCGTTACGTATTTTATCTACTCACCGGACGATTATCGTTAACGCTTTTTATAAACACCGTTTTTTTAAGTGTACCGCGGTGACAAATTATCGCTTAAACTGTGTGCAGATCGGTTCAATAAGACTTTACATAGATATATCTTTGTCATCTGTTACGTTGTCATCCGTAAGTGTCCAACTAATCTTTTGGTTTCGTTCGAACAATAATAATAAATAAACGTGTCCTCTTGTCGGTAAAATCTTGTAGATGTTGCAGGTCATTTTAGTCTCTATCAAATTTTTCTTTCACGGTGATACGTAACTATATATATTGTTATGAAAGAATACAATCTTTTCAATTGAAGCAGAAAATGCGAAATTTAATTCTCCATTGAAACGGTAAATGAAGCACGAAGATGAGATATTTTTAAGTTCCTCGAATCTATCGTAATGGAATAGGATGTAGCGCTGAATAACAATCGCGATGTATTTTCAATTACTATAATCGATTCATTCAGGAATAATAGAAGAACGTAATTTTTCATTCATCTCGACACTTCGAACAGGTTAAACGACATGACACAGTTATGTATCTAGGGACAGGCATGCGGCGGATCTCTCGATATGTCCAACAGAAACGTTGTGTAGATGCTCTACCGATCGGAGTGTAATTAAATTACTAAGCACTATGTTGCGGATTATAAGTGACGTTATTTTTTTTTGTTTATTTGAATTTTGTATCTTCGAGTCGTTGCAAGTTTTTGTATAGAAAAATTATCTCTTCGTTCGTATAGGTACTCCAATTTAACCGTTTTCAACAACTCGATTTTATCAGCGTATTGCCTAATATTATTTAACCGATGCCCGTAATATCGTTCACATTATTCATTTCTGTATGAAATTGCAATTAATGCTTCGATTAATTACTGTTCAACGTTCGTGCATTTCAGTGAAGCTTTCCGAATACACACTAATTGGTTAAAAGAGGAGGGGAAATTTAATTAAATAATACTAAACGTTTTGAAATGTATATTATTGGACGTGGTCTCGAATTCAAAATCACGTTCGTGGTAACCGTTGCCTGTGATGCATTTAAATACATTTATCATACATTTATGGTAACATTCTTTTCGTATCTTCAACGATCTACGAGACATTCCGACGTTTTCAACTTAAAAAGACGCCTTATTACGTTTGGAGCAAATCGATGATACCAGTGTCGTAGCCAATTTTATCAATGCTTAAGAAGAGATACACTAATTAATGATGAAAAGCCTATATAGTCGGAATTCACCGCGCAATATTAATTCAACAAAGTATCTTGAAATGTGGAAGAGTAAGTTGTTAGCTGTGCACATAATGAGAAAAGCTGTTCCCTTAGATCAACTCTTGGAAATTAACAAGTTCTTCGTAGTAGAAATATTAGTATAATATAGTTACATTAGTTTAATTTGAAATTATCGACAATGTGAAACTCTTGTTTAACGTAGAAATCTCGCTGTGCACATACCTCCTGGACTTAGTGAAAAATACAAGTTTTTTAGCACCCCACCATAACACCACCAAGAATGCCTGGAATGTATGTATGAAAGGACTATATTTAAAACGGTTTGAAAAAGTTAAAATTTTTACCTGAACTTACTTAAATTACGATATACAAATGTGTGATTTTATCTGAGTAATTTGAATCTGATTTTAATAGATTTCTGTGAGACGATAAAACGCTCGCGCGATAATTAATTCGCGTTGCTCGCCCTCAGAAATGTGCTCTAAATGTAAATCAAAGTTATATAAATTCGCTAGCACTGTGCATCAACGTTTGTTTTATGCATACGTATTACATGATAGTTGTTCTACGTGGAATCAAAGCACAAGTCATGAATAAAAGACGGTGAAGTTCAAAGTTTAGTATAGCCAGGTCCAAAAAAAAACATACCGCGACCTATGATTAAATAATTATATAGATAAAAATGGTTTATCGACGCGAATCATTATCTCTTAAAGTTTTATAACCGGAAAAAGAATCATAATACAATATAATCATTTTAGAGACACGAAGCTTGCGTTTGTTGCCAACAAACGTCTGTTGGAATTCCAACTCTCGACAGCTTATAAAATATAAACTCAATTTAGCATTGTTCTCGCAGTGCTAATTGCGAGATCGACGGAACAACACGGAATAGAAAACCGATCAAATGGGGAGACGTCGGTGACGATTTAGGTCGGCTCCTGAAATGCCGCGTGTAGAATTTCCAGGTCCGACGCCGTTCATCTGCGACCATTTCAAGTAGCAATGTTTTACACACGCCACTCGAGGGTCTAATCCTGACTGTCATCGATAGATCCTACTTGACCGATTTCGTTCCACTTTGTTCCGTGAATTTGTACGCGCTACGTTTAAAACGCATCAAATCAAGTGCGCAAGCATAATAAATAGAGGCGACGAGAGAAATGATGAAAAAGAGCTATCCGAAGGCTTAAAAAGAGTACGATTAGATTATTTTCGGTTCTCCGGTTTCTTGCCAATCGACGAGAAACATTTCAATGTCTCCTCGACGATCATTGCTCGTTCGCTACATGTTCGTTCGGCTCGTCTCACAAAAATCTGTTGGGATCAATGTATAATAATAAGCTGTCCGACGTGTTCAGGTGTCCCACGAGTAGCCTGCGGATCTTGTGAAAAATGAGATGCTTGTCTATCAAGAAAAGGTGTGGTGAAACTTGCTGTCAACGCATCGAGTCACTTGAAAAATAACATGTTCATATACTGCAGTCTCTGGATCCCCCCTATCAGAGCCGCCGATTAAAATGAAAAAAGTATATATAACAGAGTCAATTATATAATTTTGTCGGTATTGTTATCACGGTAGATGAAAAATTCTTCATAACTACCACAAACTAATCGTTCAGTTTTTCCAATTTAACATGATCCTGGTTCTCAGAGAAAAATACTTTGGATCCTTTTCAAGAAGAGCCTTGAACAAGAGTTGTTGAGATCCTTCAACAAGAGTCCGCAAAGGGGTGAACGATACGACCAAGCATTGCACATTGTCTCAACGGTTCTACTCCATCACGGTTCGATCTACTCAGAGATTATTCTGTGCGTGAAATGCATAAAATCCGCAGTCTACTCGCAAGGGATATATCCGGGTTGTAGCCGAGTGTGAACGAGCGTCGAAGTCGAGATCGTCGTCAGTGTTTACGTGTTCTTAGAGCAATCGCGTTTTCATCCCACAGAAAAATAGAGAGCGAACGAGCGAAAAAGAGAGAGAGAGAGAGTGGAAGAGAGACAGCGAAATCGCAGAAACAACGCGATAGGCAAGGCGTAGGGTCGGATTTGAATTCGGAGCAGCCGAAACGAGCACGACGGCCGCGACGGCGGGTCGGCTTGTACTGGTGGCCTGTAAGGACACCGTGAAGCTGACTGCGCGCCGTCTTCTGAACGAGGACCGTGACACCGACCCAGTCACGTCGTCCACCGAAGATATCGTGGAGGGCATCCGGCTCGAGGAGGTCGCGATGAAGCAGGAGCCGGAGGACGAGGACGACTGCTACCTCGAGGCGGCGGAGCTGCCGTCCCCGTCGCCGCCTTCCTCGGATGGACGCCACGCGGGCGCTACGCATCGCGTCCGCTCGCATGCACGCAGCCTTCGGGCTATGACCAACCCTAGCGCCGTTTGGGCACACTTCGACTTGTGCGCGAACGACCCGCTTCGTGCACAGTGCCGTATTTGCGGAGCGGTCGTGGTCAGAGGCGGCGCGAATCCTCGGCAATGCGGTACCACGAATCTTCATCGACACCTCAGGGTGCACCACGGTGGCAGACTGGTCGGCAGTCGTTATCACGGTAAATCACAGTTGTTGGCTCTTTATCGGCCGCGAGACGCGAACTTGTGCCGCGTCTTTATTTCATAAACGAAAGTAGAAGGAAATTAAAGAGACGATTCTCTCTCTCTTCGTAACGATACAATGATAAAAAGACAAGAATGCAACATTGTTATGCTGACTTTTTTCCAATATCCTCTGGAGAATTATAGTTCCGTTTTTAGTAGGCGATACATGCCAAAACAAGTAACAGTTTATTTTAGCTAGCTTGTTTACGTTTATATGTTATATAAACAGGTTTTCGTTTACAGTATTACCACCCGCTAATACGACCACTAAGGCCATTAGGATAGCTGCACAGTCGTTGGTAAGGCCGCACTTACGAAATATTGCTCCAGCGCCAATGCCGCAGCAGCTGCAACAACAACAGCAACAGCAACGACAACCAAAGACTCTTGTGTTAAAAACGATACCGTTAAAAGTCAAACAAGTTGCGCCAACAACCATTAAAATGCCACCCCGGCAACCTGCTCAAGGGTTACCACACAATATTGTGCATCAACAACCCACAGAGGTATATTCATTTGGAACTCTACTTCAAAGTATTATTTACACGCTCGTCTTTCTCTATCGGTATCACTTAAATGCTTGTCTCTTTCAGGTCTGCTTGAGATGGAACAGTTACCACAGTAACATGCAAAACAGTTTTCCGTCTCTATTGGACTCCGAACAATTCGTTGATGTTACCCTGGCCTGCGAGGGTCGCTCGTTAAAATGCCACAAAATGATACTGTCGTCGTGCAGCGATTACCTTGCGGAACTGTTACGCGAGAATCCATGCCAGCATCCGATTATATTAATGAAAGACCTTAAATTCTGGGAAGTCGAAGCGCTAGTCAAATTCATGTACCGAGGGGAAGTTAACGTTGCCCATGACAAATTGCCGCAATTGTTGAACGCAGCTGAAGCACTGCAAGTGAAAGGATTAGCTGGCCCAAATCCTTCTTCGCAGGTAAAACCTTGTGCTTACATGAAATGTTTATACGTTTTATCGATGCCGTACAATGCTTCTATATATTTCTTAGAATCCAAAACCACCGCTACTGATCCCGCAAACCAAGCCAGCAACAACTCAACCAGTTCCTCGAGCCGCATCAGAGACCAAAGAGAAAGCTTCCACTTCCGGAGTTTCTACACCATCTAGTCCGAAACGCGCGCAGAAACGGCAATATTCAGAAACAATTGAGCCAAAACCGTTCACAAAGATACGCTTACAACGGCCAGTGACCCCGTCGTCGCCCACCACCACGGTCAAAATGGAACCGTTAGATATACCCCTAAGTCCTACGATATTCCCCGAAAACAATGAGGATAGTTCGAACCCTTCAAACTTCGAGAAGCTTATGAGTCTACACGAAGACGATGATCCAGGTGGTAACGAAATAATCGATGGTGAAAGGGAAATCAATTTTTGTGAAATACCCGAGCCACCCGACATAAACGACAGTGAGGATCAAATGGAATTTGTACCTACAGACTTTCTAGAACAGGAACAAGACATAGTCGAGGAAACGGAAACGGCCTCCATTAAAGACAGTAAGGAAGAGTCTAGGGATTACAGTTCCGTTGAACTCGAAGATGGTGAAAGAAGTGAGGTTGAGAAAGAAGAGCCTTCAAAAGAAAAGAAACCTGTTTAGTAATAAAGAATATAAATTTAAATGAAATCCGTTTGAGGAGATATTTTCCTTGACAAGCAAGATGTAAGGGCTCTTCGAGAATCTCTTTTGGGAAAGGTAAGAGCTGTGAATAATTATAGATTCAGAATTACTTTTACATTTTCACTGATATTTAAACAAAAGCTTAACAAAATATTATTTAAGTTGTGGATAAATATGTATTTAGTATTAATTTCCATACTTATTCCGACAATTTTTCGTGGATTTTCTTTTATTTCCTACAACCGTTCAGTTATAATGTAAAAATACATAAAGTAGAAGTACATATTTTTGTTTAAATATCAGTAAAAATGTAAAAGTTGCTTTAGGTTTAGAATTATTCACAGCACTGCGTATCAGGTCATTTCATAAGTTCTTGCATTTTTTGGTACGAATTTTATCTGATAAAAATACTTGATTATTTCAACATTCTTCACGTTGAAAATATAAATATAATAGATCTGTTCATTTTACTGTAGCGAGGAGACAGTATTCGTATGGATAAAGTAAAATCTGATTCTATAGTAAAATTCAATTTTATCAAAGTTTATCTAAATCAATTTCTCTCTCAATTTCCTCTCAACACTCTAAATGAAAGTATTTCTTTAATATTTAGATTGTTTACTGAAAAACGATAAAAAATTCTTAGATTTAACGCAGCGTTGCGATAGAATCATAATAAATAGATTTTTACTCTTTAAATTGTTTGAAATGCAATTTTTAAAAAACAATGACCTTGATAGTTACCTTCCGAAATGAAATGTTTATAACGACAGAAGAAATATACTACTTTTGTGATATTGTTTTCCGTAATCTATTGTTGCCATGAACTTTTAGGTATATACATACCTAGTTTTCACTCTCATTGGGTCTTGATAAGTCAAAATGCAAAATACGATATAATTTGCTCTATGGGAATCATGACAAATATTTCAGTGACAGTGTAAATAGAGCGTACGTAATTTAAAAAAAAGTAAAACTATTTTTACCATTCACTATACGAATCGTAGCGGCAGTATATATCTTTCGAGCATGTTCTCCAAGTTCGCTGTTCGAAATTGACTTTTCCATGCGAAAGATTACGCTAGAGAGTACGATTTAAATTTAGAATGATTACAATCGTAATTTTACTAATTAATTGTACATATTTACAGAGTACCTATAACCGAGTTTATTGTGTGTATATGTGGAAGCTTGTACAGAATACACAGCTTCTACGTTTTTATTTACAAATTATCTGTTAACAAATCGACCTACACGTATGCCTTCATAATATCTAGACTGCGGATACAGTTGCAAATTTCAAATTTTGTAAGTGAGGAAAGTGCTGGAATTGCTTTGCTCGATCATCGACGTTTTAGGTCGAAACAAAAATGGTTATTTTATAAAATATTTGACCAAATTTATTTTATTGTAATCTTTATATTCAAATACACTATAAATGCATAAAATCCGCAGTTTAATAATAACTCTTGTTACTTGAAAGTCGATTTAAATTGCCGATTAGTAGTTGATTTATCCATTTTAATTTTGTGATTTATAATATAAATCGTTAATTCAAATTCTGCTAAAAACTCTATACGCTTCATCTTTTTTTTTTTTAATTTAATTACTCGCGTATGAACACTGTGTAATAAGCTTTTGTTCTTTTTAAATTGAAAAGTTGTACCTGTTGAATTTAAGTCAATTTTTACAGTATGATTTGAAGAAAACAGTACAACGTTAGTATTTATCAATCATGTAAAAAGTTTTATAATTTTCATCTTGTGTTTTTGATGCGTAAAATATTATTGAATCAATGAAAAATTGATGCATTTATATATTAGTCGCGAACCTCTGTTATTATTACATAAGATTACGAAGACGATCTGTCGAAATATGTATAAACTGACGATACGTTGACCTGACTTCTACTGTACTATAATTCCATCTTTAGGTTACTAGACGATTCGGTAAATTTCTTTCGAGAAAAGTTACATACGCAATTTTCTTCGAATTTATTCATATAAATTGTGTAAAAGTAACTCTCTACGTATATGACACGTACTACAAATCGATGCTAGCTGCGGAACTACGTTTACTGTAAAAATACATGTATGATTGGAAAGTATGTGTACATTGTAACATGTGAAATTATGTCTTATAAATAAATTGCTATAGTAATGTATGGCAAAATGTCTCAGTTTTGTTTCAATTACTTAACAAAATAATGTCAATCAGCAAACGTAGTAGAATGTTTAGATTGTATATGTTATTCTGC